TTAATAATTGTGGAAGCTTGGTCTAGGTACATGGAAGTTCCTTGTATTGTTCATTTATCTTTGAGTAAATTAACATTTTTCAACTATAAAAATATTGATATGTGTGTAATATAATCACTGATGACACTACCAACCACGCTGATAATTTTTTGTACATTATCTCACCTACTCCCCCATAATAACCTGCAAAAAGCTAATTTTATTATTTTAACTTTTTAAATAAAGACATTGATGTGGCTTGAAAATGTTGAGACACTTGCCCAAGATCACAGTGCTAACAGGTATTGGGCAGAGCAGGCATTAAATTCAAAGTCTGTCTGAATACAACCTTCCTCCTAACCACTGCACACATCTGCCTCCTCTCAGTGTCTTCTCAGACCCAGGATTCTAAAATTACATTGAATCAGAGCTAGATCAAGAGAGGGCAGGGAGGAGAGTACACACTCTTTCCTGGAGGGAATAGCCAACCTCTACCCATGACACCCTGTCCTCACCTCACATGTCACAGTACTCAGGTCAGTGCTTCCTTCTGCTAAATGATGGAAATGATTCAGCAAACTGCAGTGCAGATTTCCTCTGGCCTTAGTGATGTGGGCAACCCCTAGAAGCACCACACTCTCCGGGATCCTGCTTCTTTTTCAGTTAAAAGAGGGAGTTATACAGGTCAGTCTCTAAATTGCCTTCAAGCTCTAAAGACCTGCCTTGGGGACACTCATTTCTTATCCAGGGAAAAAGGTTTGTCATGCAGCCCTCAGTGTGTATCAGAGCAGCAAATGCATGAAGGTGCACCAGTCAGCACAAATGTGTCCTGTTCAATATGAGACATGTAACATTGTGCTAATAAAGCTCCTGACTCCCTCCGCCCCCCTCCTACAGCATGCCCGCTGACAACATGCCCCTCTGCCTCTGCTGTGCTTCTGGCACAGAACCTGGTCCTTCCTGGGCCCAGAACCCACACCATGTACACTCCATGGACCTACTTCCCCAACAACTCTCATCCTTCGGCTTGCTTCTCAGCCAGACTCACCTTCTTTTCAACCAGTTGATGAGTTCTCAAATTGACTCCAAAGACACTCTTCGAGCTGGTGCTTTTGTTTTAACTGTGAAGAAAAAGTATTCACACCCTTTTAAACCACTGAGCCAGGCAGCATAGATTGGGTGGAGCTAGAGGAGGAACTGTTTGCCTTTAAAGAGACAGTAATATTT